GCCGCCGCTTATAGAATATATCACATTCACTTGGCGTTCGTTACAGTTATCCCTTGAAAGGTGAAAGAGGAATCGATCAATTTTTCCTTCACATGCCAAAGCTTTAATATGATCACGAAGGGTGATACATTTCTTGTCGTCATGGCCGTTATGCTCGTGGTAGCAGCAAAACGTGCCCGTGTTCTTCATGGGCTTGTAACTCGACTGCCTCGGCATTGGCTTCGATATCAGGTGTGTTATGCTGAGGTAAATAGCCACGCATGTGGCATTCAAAGGTGTGTATGTCTCATACCTCGGGTAGGGCCTGTCCTGATACGTGTTTGGCCCACTGTGTTAACTGCCTAGGGGCGGGCATTATCGTGGCGATACCCTTGATTATCGCGATAGTGTCCCTTACTCTTTTTACTAAAATGAGATTGGTGAGGATGGAAATCTTTCATTTTGCCCTGAGATTGATATGTCTGTTGACTTGGTGAAGTATTAAGAAGGCAATGGGAGGCACCGCTGCTGTTTGGAAGGTTGAGGTCTTCTCATTTGGTTGGATATGGCTTCCACTCCCTAATTGCTGATAAGGGGTGGCTGTGGGGGGTTTCCTTTGATATGTCTTTGCCTCGACGGATGCATGGTTTAAGCATGTGCCATCACCTCAGAGTAAGTCTTCCAAGTGTTGGCATTGATCATGTACTTGAAGAAACAATCACGTAGGCCTTGAGGGCGGTCTTGTCATCTACCTCAGCACATCGAGAATATTCATGGCTGAAGCGACCGGCATACTCTCGTAGTGACTCGTTCGACTTCTAGTGAATAGTGTACAAGTCATCTGCAAAATGCAAAAGATCGGTCTGGAATACAGATATTACTTTTGTTTCGATAAACGCAGCAGCTCAGCTTAATGGCATGTCGGGGGCAAACGAACACCATAAGGGCACACTAGCCCAACTACCAAGAACCGGGGGCATGCCTTATTCTCAACACTCTAGATGATTCAATACTAAAGAGCACATCACGAGTAACCGAGCATCACAAACCTAGTGGTCCAAGTCCTCATGTTGCACATAACCTGGCCCAAGCCAACCCCAGCTCTACGCTCACAGCCGTGCCTACTTGTTCCACAATTTCCAGTAGCCATTGATCTATCACCATGGCTCCTAATTGTGCCGATCTTGCACCATGGCTCCCAGCCCTGCCGATCTTGCCATATGGCTCCTAATCGCGCTAACCAAGCTCATGGCACTCCAAACTTCAAAGCAACCAATGATGAACCAGAAGACAAGGCTTTATTAACAGCCTCTGCTAGTGAAAGACTTAGCGGTGAAGAAGCTTGCAATCCATCTAGATTCTCAGTTAATCACCAACTAAGCCTCAAAAGGGCACACAACGAAACATCTAATAATGACACAATACTTGAAGAAAGTCTAGGAGAAGCTCGATGTGCTTCCCGATTGCACCCTTATGCAGGTTCCATAAGTGGTTCGAAGTCTTAACCAAATCGCCAAACAAGACCTTGCAAGCTGAGGATTATTTCAGTTGTCCAGTAGTCCGACTTTCCTTAGTTGCACTCATGACAACAACTTCCATGCTCCCTAGTGCTAGAGGGTAAACCAATCCCCCAACACCCATTTGGGTTTGCTCTCCAGTGCAAGAAGATAAACTAATTGCTCTCCAGTGCAAGAGTGCAAACCAATTCCTCGACACCCATTTGGGTTTGTTTTCCAATGCGAGAGGATAAACTAATTTCTCTCTAGTACGAGAAGGTAAACTAATCCCCCGACACCCATCTGGGTCTACTCTCCAATGCTAAAGAGTAAACCAATTCCCCAACACCCATATAGGTATGCTCTCCAGAGTGAAGGGATAAACTAATTGTTTTCCAGTGCGAGAGGGTAAACTAATTCCCCGACACCCATTTGGGTTTGCTCACTAGCGTGGTAGGATAACTTAATTGCTCTCCAGTGCGAGAATACCACACAGCTCAAAAGATTGAATACTCAAAGTCCAGCTAAGCAGCAAATGGTCAGGGGGCAGCAGCCACTTTGTACTCAACAATTCGCTCATCCAACACTTTGTCTTCAGCAGCTCCAATCTTGGCAGCTCTGTCCTTGATTGCTCCATCTACGGTAGTTGAGAAATCAAACTCAAGCAGTTTCCTCATTCTTGGCAAGCAGCCCAAACCATGGGCCATGCCATGCCACTACCTCACCCTATTCCGAGCCAGCCCTTAACTTCAGTCAAGCTGAGCAACACAAATTGTGGCCCCTGTCACACCACCTCCTCAACCTGTGCTAAGCCAACTCTTGGCCCCTGCCAGCTGATATGCCACACCACCCCGACGACCGCCTCGTGGCAGCACCACCTAAGAATAAGACAAAGAAATTAAGTTTTTCTTACATCGGTGCGGAGCAGAGAATAATAAAAAAAAATTAAAGGAAGACAGTTCTTTGCACAGGCAAGCAAAGAAGAGAGCTAGGGGAGGGGGACCAAATATCCTCTAGCTTTCCCTCTTTCTTATAGGGATAAAAAATTGTCCTCCGAAGTTGATTTAATCTCCTACTTAAGGTAAATTTAAATAGGCTTCGGAGGCGATTTATTTCCCTTTCATAGAAAAATCTAATTCCAAGTCCAAGTGGGAATCTGCATCAAAGTTGGAGATCTCTACACTTGCTGCCCTTTTCTGCGAGCAGCCCAGCATGTGTGAGGGCATTTGTGGAACCAAAAATAATCAAGAAAATTATGGAGGCGACACATGGACTTTTGGGTAAAATGACAAAATTACCCTCAAGGCACACCCAGATTCCCACGCGCAAGCAGCGGACAATAACAGCTCAAACATGATCAAAAGTGATCAAAATAGGTATTTATTCAAAACTTATTTCATCAATCCTCATCAAATCCTCCCTACAAGGTAACCCTTATTTAATCTTTTCAAATTAGGATTAATTACCAAAATTAATTGGTTAATTTTCTAATTAATTTCCTAGTTGATTGCAAGATATTATTTTGACATAATATCTTGCAATTAGAGCCAAAAACCACCATAAGTGGCCGGAGCCCTTTTCTCCAAATAGGGGCTGGCCACATCCCTATATATAGCTCCTCATTTCTCCAAAAACCTAAGTTCATTATTCTCCTAAAATTCTCTACACATTTTTTCTCTCAAATTCTAACTTTGGTATCGGAGGTTATTCGGCCAAATCCTCCCCCATTCATCGTGGGCGCGTGAGGTTCTTGATCTTGGCCTTAGGTGTTAATTGTTTTGCAAGTGCAATTTCGTCCAAGAAGAAGAAGGCGGAAATTTGTATCCACAATGAGCTAGTTGGACTACTTCTTCTGGCACTCGTTTCAAAGGGTATGATTAAGCACTTGAACCTGAAAATCAACAAACTTTATCAGAATAGTTTCAAGTTAAGCACAAGAATCTATTTTGGAACCTTTGTGACTGCCACCCACGTAAAAAATGTTGCCATTTTGGACCACAACATAATCCCAATTGATACTTCTAATTCTAAACCTGTTGTCGAACCTTATATGGGAACTTTAACGAAAAGCTCCCAGTACTGTTCACTTTAACGAAAAACTACATTTTTACACTAAAAAGTCAATCCTGGTACTATTCACTTTACCCTTTATTTTGATACTTCACGTTACAGAAGATTCCCACTTTCTTATACCATGAAAATTAAATTATAATTGATCCAAACAAGTTCTGTCCTTTTAGAAATTTAAGCCTAAAAAATTAAAGCTGACAAAGAAGTCATTAAGGTCAACAATTTTTGTTCAATATTACGTAGCACTTAGTGGTACGAAAAATGAGTGGTAGAGATTGAAAAGAAAAGATCTATTAGTTTTAGAAATCTAATCTAATGGTTAAAATACCAGTAGCAGTGCTATACGTAGCTTAGTTTCAATATGAGTTGGGATTTAGACCTTTGTCAGGTAAATTCCAAGTTGCCGAGCCCAAGCATCCAAGTACCATGTTATTCCACAACATTGCTCCTTTTTGCCTTGGATTCTTTACTGCAATCCACATGAAACACGGGTATAAGCATATGCCAAAGGCAATGTCAACCCCCCGATTAGAGGTGCCAGGCCTACCAAAAATGGAAAAGCCACTGCCATGAAAAATTCCACTCCTAAGAAAATGCGTAAAGCTAGGCCGACGCGAAGCCACCTTGAACACGGCTTGTTCTTCCTGATAGTGTACTTTCACCCCAGCTTATCAAAAACTACCATGCCATAGATTTTGGAATGTGCTTAAGCAGTGTATCACCATAAGCATGCAAATCAGTCCAAGAAAATTTCTTGAAGTGTTTTTATGTTCATGGAATTGTGAAACTAAGATCAATAATCCTCTGTAGAAAGTAGGTACCTGCATAAATCAAAATACATTTGATGATCATACCAAAAGATTAATTATGACTTAAGTAACTAAACATAAATGAAAATGAATTTTCACTTATTTACTTTGTGCCAAAAGCCCAAAATCCACAAAAGGCCAGAGGAAGAAAACACATGGCTGCGAGTGCATAAGCTCTAGTCACTCCACTCCACATTCGCTTATGTGTTGAGTATTTGGGGTTTGTGGGTAATGTGGCCTGCATGAGTGGTGAACTTTATCACCTTTACAGATATTGATAGATACATTGCACAAGTTACACAACTTGATGGTAGGGCATCAGCAGCCGGTGTTGAGTACCAATCCATAAATAGTAAGTACATTATTGATGTTTAGCCAACATACACTAGTAGAAAAAAACTCATCTATCACGGTCGATGTCCGTGGTAGATTGCAATCCATCACGGATACTGTGCTCCTTAATAATCTGGATATGATAGAAAGTCACAGATTCTACCACGAGTTATGCCCGTTGTCAATTGTAATATAATCACGGATTGTGCCCGTTGTAGAAGCAGATCTAACACCACGTGCACTCTAACTGTTGTGGATTACAAATTGGTCACAGCTAATGCCCGTTATAAAAAAAATTTCCAAAAAAAAAATGTTTAATAATGTATTATATAATAATTATAAACAAAATTACGCATTTACTACAATATAACAATTAAATAAAAAAAATTCATAGATTCAAACATTACAATCCCACACTAAACTAAAGCTAACAAAAAAACAATGAGATATACAAAGAAATACCAAACTATCTAGAGACCTTCAACAACCAAGGACATTGTCACTTTGAAGACTTCACATTTATTTGAACACCATCCAAACAAAGGACCTTGAGAGCGAACTACTGCCCCTAATGCTTGAGCCTCAACAATTGTTGCCTCTCTCTATCTGCATGGACATAAGCATATGGATCAAGAAAAAAAAAATCTTGTATCTGTATAGGTAGAAATATACATTTGATCTCAATCAAGAAAAGTGAATAGAACTCTTGAAAAAATATATTAAGGGGGGTCCTTTGAGAAAAGATAAACACATGATAGATTATGAACCTGCTAAACAGAGCCACTACATACATATTTCTGCAAATATATACCATACAAGATTAGCCAACCCAATACCATAAACAAAGATTTTGTTTTTATAAACATAAACAATAGGAACCAAACCAATGCTATAAGCTAAATCATTATTAGCCCAGAAATCAATATCAAGTTCTTACCCTGTCTGCAAGTTCTTTGGGCAAATAAAAATGGTAAACTGCAAAGCTACAAGAACCACAGGTTTAGAAAACATCACTGAAAATTTGTATTATAAAATCAAACATTCAAAAACTACATGTGGAGAAAAATGCTAGAACGTATCAAATTTTGAGACTTGAAATATTAATTTCATTAGACGACTACTTCACAATTCGACGATAAGGATGATTATGGACCAAGAAGTGGAAACTAGAATCACAAGTTGGGAATGGAATATGTTTATTTGACACACCCCAACCCAGAATATCCACTAGGACTCTTAATCGAGTTGTGCTGGCCGACACCTGAAAGGTGACGAAGCTATAAAATATAATTATGTGGGAAATGTGAATAAATTTAAATCTAAAAGTACATAAAGACAAGAGTGTGCTGTGAGCAGGAATGAACCCATTTCACACGCGACGTCAGAGTATAAGTAAAGTACAGTAGTGTGGATAAGAATCATACCCTCGGAGGTAGCCACCTATACTGAGATTTGCCAAGAATCCTCATCAATGTGAACTTTCAGCAGCTAAAACCTAGAAGGGCGCAAAAACAAGGGTGAGTGGACCTGAAAATAAAGTTTTTAATAAAAACCTTTTGAAAACGTTATAACCCCTCGCCATAAAACCCGTATAATTTCCTAGAAAATAATAATACATACGTATATAGAAATCATACTCGAGAGTAGTGAAAACCAAGTATATGCCATGTCAAGTATCTCAGCAATGAAATAAGTAAGCCAGGTGAAATAAATCAATGTAAAATGATATGCCAACCAAAGTCACCTAACGTGACCTGTACGGCTGAACCTATAACTCATTAACCAATTCATGCACATGAATCGGAACCACCTATTGTGGTTTATACGACAGAGCTGGGTGTAAATAAGTACGCTCAAGTGCTACAATCACGTGAAGGCTGTGCGAATAATTGCAGGTCACCTACAAGTCGGAACCACCTAATGTGGTTTATACGATAGGGTTGTGCACCAAACTTGGATCCAAGGTGAGCGTGCGGCGCATGAGGTGAACATCACATGAAGGACTGTGCTCTGGCCACAGGCTGGAGCACTAACATCGGGGTGAAGGATAATGAGCTCTAAATGCATCTACGCATAATCATAAACAATACAACCATTATCATCACATAGTACTCACCTGAAACTTACCTGGCCTCCGCAACGTCATACAATATTATACATACACATGCTAATGCATATAATAAAATGGAGTGCAAGCATGACATGGCATTTAAAAATATCTGGGAAAATGTAAAGCATATATACGTATATATAGAAAACCAAAAACCTACTCACTTGGAGTCCGTGCTACAACTCCCTAGCATAAACATTAAGGCATGACGAACGATTGGCGCCTAGAATAATTATCAAATCATGTCTTAGAATTCTTATTAATAGAACATATAACTTACATATCCTATTTGGGAAGATCCATACGTCAAATTCTCGATCCGTAAGTTTCTAATGTCCTCAAATATTACGTATTATAACGTATCAAAGTTTGGCGATGATCCAACGGTCGGATTGTCAATTGCTATAATAATCAAGTGGCGGACCTTAATTGAACTACGTTCAAATGACGGAATAATAATCAAACGGCGGACCTTAATTGAACTGCATTCAAATGACGAAAATTCATCAATTGGACTCCACATACAAAATTAGAGAATCAAATTTAGCTTAGGAAGGTCAGGGGATGCCTCGGCCCACGCGCCACAGAAGGTGGCGATCGGCTGCTCCGATTTGCCGGAAAATTCAACTATTTTTAAAAATTCTCAAACTTCACAGAAATGAAGATCTCCATGAATAGAGCAACTTTAATACTTGTGATTAAAGCCAATTTGACCAGGAAATTTCCCAATTTCACGAAAACCCGCCGGAAACCCTATAAAGGGTGATTCTTGATTCGGCCTTCAAAATCACTCCAACGCCTCAACAAACCACTGGGTTTCATTCCTGAACTCAAGAGGAGTCTAATGTTGGTGGTGGTTGATGGAGTTACCTTCGGATTTGATGGATCGCCACCTCGAAGCCATCGCACCCATCCATATATTTCTTCCCAATTCTGGACATAATCTCCTGAAATTTGATGTGGAAATGGTAGAGGAAGGGTAAAGATGATGGTTAGGAGTGGTAGATCAGCTCAATTCACAGGTCACAACCGGGTCACGGGTCAAGGGGAAACTGATTCGGTTCTCCTCCTTCTCCTCTTCCCTCATTTTTCCTCATTTCCTCTTTTCCCATTGGTTCTCCTTCTTTTTTCCCTTCCTCATTGGTCCGATTCCTCCCTCATTTCTCTCATTTATCCTTCATCTCCACCGACCATCTTTCTTTCTTTTAATATGGGCCACATGTGGCTCCATCAGATTTTGCTCCAAAAATCTAGAGCATTCTAGAAGTAAATAAATTTACAATTTTACCCTCGACTTCATTTGTTAATATCTCCATCGTTATAACTCCAAATCACGATTCGTTCACGCCCACGCGTTCGTAGCAACGAGTACTACGAGTATACGTGAAGAAAATGAACCCTACATGATACGACACGGCAAACAACAAAAGTTAACACTTTGTCTCGAAAGGCATTTTCATAAATTCACTTTTTAAAATTATAAAAATCATAATAATTGGGGACGGGTCGTTACATTATTCCCCATGAGGGGAACACAATTATTATTTTTTTAACTCAATGATTTCAATTGTCAGTGTGAAAAAAGTTCAAAGTTTAAACTAGCAGGCCTCTAGAAGCTGCATTCAAAGAATATAGTACAAATAGTAGACTCAGATTTAACTCCACTTTTACACATTTATGCACTACCTAAACTAGCATGCATTGGAGTGTATAAACTAAAGTAAATAAAAACTCGGTGTTTTAAGATCCATCATATACAATTATATCCACCAATAATATATGGACTTTAGAGGAAACTAGGCCAGGCAATTTCTGACACGACCCGATAACCCGACACGATACGACACAAAATTAACAGGTGTTCGGGTCGACACGATAACGAATCAAATCATTATTAGGTAACCCGATAAGCACCTATTAAGATAACGCGTTGGTTCGGTTATACATGTTGGTAACACGATACATGATACATTATAAGCAAAATATTAATTTTATAATTTTATAACCCTAAAAAAATACTATAATAATTATATATATTTATTTAACAATTTTATACCCCTAAAAACTATAATAATTATATATATGTATATATATATATATAATTAAATATTAAAAATTGGTGATCATTGGATCGGCTTAAATATACATATCATTCAATTTCTTAAGTGTTATACGTATAAAATAAATAAATTTAAATCTACTTAATAAATATATATATATATATACACACACCATTGAACTTGATGGGATACGAATTCTACGAAACTAATTTCAACGATCCAATCGTCAAACTTGTTTGTATATGCTTCAAGATCGTATCATCAAAAAATCGCAAAAAACAAACATTTGGAGATCAAGTAACGGGACAAAACTTTTTATGGTTATCAATGAAAAAACATGATTTAACGGCTATTTTAACTCCGATTTTGATGATTTTTTACATCTACACTCCTTAACCCTATATGAATACAATGAATGAACTCGACATTCAATTTAAATATTTACACTAGTGGATAGCACAAAATCTTATGTTATACTTAATGAAAGTATGAATAAACTTGTAAGTGTTAATGAATCTATCGTTTTGATAGGATACGCATTCTACAAAACTAATTTCAACGATCCAACCATCTAACTTGTTTGTATATGCTTCGAGATCGCATACGCTAAAAATCGCAAAAAACAAACATTGAGAGATCAAGTAATGGGACAAAACTTTTCGACGGTTATCAACAAAAAATCACGATTTAACTGTTATTTTAACTCCAATTTTGATGATTTTTTACAGCTACCCTCCTTAACCCTATATGAATACAATGAATGAACTCGATCTTCAATTTAAAATAGGGTTCTTTAGAAAAAGACCCTTGAAACTCTTATTTTCCAAACAAAAACCCACATAATATTAAATATCTAAATAAAACCCAAATTTCAAATAGAGTATCATGTAGACAAATATATAACCAATTATTATCACATATTTACAACTTATGCCACAAAGCCCTAATTATCTCAATAAATATTATTACTCACCCTAATTATGATTAGTAATTAACCCATATGGAAAATTTCACCTTTCTTGTATGGTAAATATTAGGAATATATATATATATATATATATATATATTAATTTAGCCATGTTCATAAACAATTATGGGCACATTTTTCGTATGGAAAAAAAAATCCTTTGTACAATCAGTTATTTTGCATCAAATAATAATATTGTTTGATAAAAACAACAAAGAACCAATTAATATTCTTTTATGTTGTAGGTAAATTATTTTACCTAGATTATTACATACATTAGGCATTTTTTGTTTGTTATCATATATGCTTGTTAAAAATAATTTATCTATATTTATATGTAAAATATAAGTAAATTAATTTTGAATCAAATAGCATTTATTTTGTAGGTAAATTAAAATAGTAGTTCCATTATTTTGGTAAAGTTAAACAGTGCCTAAATTATTTCGTAAAAATTAAACAAAGACAAATTATCTCTATTAAAATAAAATAGTAGATATTCGACAAAAAAAATAAAAATAAAACAGTAGCTACATTATTTTCTTATAAGATTAAACAATAGGTAAATTATATTGTAGGTACATTATGTTTGTAATATAAAAAAAGAAATTGAAATTTATAAACAAAAAGTAGTATATATATTATTTTTTAATCAAATTTCCTTTATTTGTAGGTGAATTATTTCCATGCATTATTATATATATTGGGCACATTTTACTACTAATATATATGTGTGCAATAATTTACCTATATTATTATATAAAATATAGATAAATTTATTTTGAAATCAAATAACATTTTTTGTTTTATAAGTAAATTATTTTGCATGTATCATTACAAATATAGGGCAAATTTATTGCTAATACACATGTCCAAATAATTTATCTATATTTTTTAAATATAGCTAAATTATTTTATAGTGCTCTTTCATATTTTCATTTGGTAAGAAAATGGCAAGATTAAATTAAAATTGTCTAATTTTATGCAAATTTGAAAAACAATTACGAAATCTTAAGGAAAGTATAACATTATTAGTTCTTTTTTGCCTTAACAAACAATTTGTTATGACATATTATTATTTTAAATATTAATGCATTTTTTCCATTAATCTCTCCTTTCAAATCTGCATAGAATTAAATGTTTACATTAAAACTGTTTTTAGGGGTATTTTAGGCAGCTGCAAAATGTAAAATGTGTAAAGGCAAACAAAATTAATGAATTTGCTTATGTGGAGCCTAGTCATTGGGTTTTATTCAGATAAAAAGGCTATGTCGGGTTTTATGTAAAGAAACTTGAGTTTCAGGGGCTAAAGTCATATTTTCAGTTTAAAATATGTACACTAGTGGATACCACAAAATCTTATATTATACTTAATGAAAGTATGAATAAACTCTTAAGATCGCATACGTATATAGTAATCAAATATGTTTGTATATACTTTGAGATCGCATACACCAAAAATTGCAAAAAAACAAACATTAAGAGATCAAGTAACGGGACAAACTTTTCGACGGTTATCAACGAAAAATCATGATTTAACGGTTATTTTAACTCCGATTTTGATTATTTTTTACAGCTACTCCTTTACCCTATAAGAATACAATGAATGAATTCGATCTTCAATTTAAAATATTTAAACTAGTGGATACCACAAAATCTTCTGTTATACTTAATGAAAGTAGAAATAAACTCTAACTATTAGTGAATCTATCGTTTTGATGAGATATGAATTCTACAAAACTAATTTCAACAATCCAACTGTCAAACTTGTTTGTATATGCTTGAAGATCGGATATGCCAAAAATCGGAAAAAAATAAACATTAAGATATCAAGTAACAGGACAAAAAATTTTGACGGTTATTAACGAAAAATCACGATTTAACGGTTATTTTAACTCTGATTTTGATGATTTTTTACACTACACTCCTTGACCCTATATGAATACAAATGAATTCGATCTTCAATTTAAAATATTTACACTAGTGGATACCACAAAATCTTATGTCATGATGATCAATGAAAATTGAGGATTTTGTAAAAAGAATAACATGCAAGCTTTGAGTTCTATTGGCAAGGTTTAAACTTTTGAGAAAGGTTTCACAACCTTGAAGACAAAAACTCTTTCATTTTGCATATCCTTGCACATTTAATATTTTGTCAAAGACTAGTAGTGTATGGATGTTTGTTTATTAGGCTCTTATTTTCGAGTGTAGATGTAGTACTTAAACGACAAATATGTTTTAATAGTTTGAAGTAATATTTATGTGGCAATGTGTGGTATGTGCAAATTTAAGAAAAAAAATATTTTTTCTTAACGGGTCGGGTCACTTTACCCCTGTTAAGGACCCGTTAAGATAACAGGTGTGACACGACATGACTCGTTAAGATAACAAGTGTTACACGAAAACGACACGAACACAATAGACACGACCCGTTTGCCAAGCCTAGAGGAAACTCAAGACTACAAAATGAGATTCCATAAGCTCTTTCTTACACTCATACTCAGTCTGGATATTTATCAAAGTTCTTGAAGACCTAATAGAAGTATGCTATTAAAAACCAAGAAAAAAAACAAAGAACATCAGCTTCGGCTTGGTCTCAGAGCAGCCTTGATGTTAAACATATATCCATTAAGGACGGATACACCATATCTTTCCTAAACAGAGAGAATGGAAAAGAGGGATATGGTGTCTTACTTTATAGAAAAACACATCCAAAAATTCATTGATCACATATTAGCCTAATCGCTAGGCACTAGCTCATGTAAATAAAGGAATTCACCGTAAAGGAAAAACCCATTTATTTAAGCATGCAGCGAGTTCAGATCAACTAAACGATGCCTCTAAATTCCACTAAATACATGAAATCAATAAACTAAGACCAACTCTTTCATATCATATCAAAGGTAAATCAATTTCAATATTGAAGCAATTCAACCAATGTCCCAAAGTAATAATAAGAGCTTATTTACCAGCTTCTTTTAGCTTTAAACGGGAAACCCATTTTCCCACTATTTACATGAATTCAAAAATCCTCCAAAAGGGCACTAATCCACAGAAGGAACTCGAAGCAAAAAGCCCAGATGAAGAAATAAACTTCTTCACATTGATTCTGGATTTCAATCAAGATTCAAGACACGCCCTTTATCCAATACCCACTCTGGCATTCCTTCAAACACATGGTAGGCACTTTGTTACCACAATCAACTTCATCATACATGCTATATATTTACCAAAACTAGCAGAAACCACCAATACAAAGGCAAAACAGAAAACCCATAAGAAAACTAAAGCAACCCATCAAATCAAACACGAAGACAGCCTTAACAATAAATCTGTATCAACTAACACTAAAAATAAGTAAGAACTAACACTAAATTAGAAAACTTACAAAAATCCCAAAACTGAAATTTTTTATTTTGGAAAATCACTTACACTGGATGACAGCCCACGAGGAGATGATCATTTTTACCTGTTGGGTCGAGGTCCAATTCTGGCAGGCTTGGCCGGAAATTGGCAGAAAAACCCACGGTCACCATTTCTTGGATCTAAAATTGAGGAAATTCGGCTACAAATTTGTAGAAACTAACTCAGGGGTTGGAAAGAGGACATGAAGAGCATCCTGGAGGTATAATTTAAGGGTCGTTGGTGACTTGTGGACAACGTCGCTGTTGCGTAAAAGAGATGAGGAAGAGAGAGGATACGAGAATAGGTAAAGAGAGAATTAAGGTGAGAGAGGGAAGTTGGACGTTCGTCTCAAAGAGAAAGAAGGGGAGAGAGAAGAGTCGAGTGATGGTGTCTGATTTGAAATTGGTAGACAAGGTAAACGAAACCTGAGCACGGGACTCAAGGTGAATAAAAAAATGATGGACAGTTAGGGATTTCAGTTTTCAAGACTTTTATCCCTCAATTGGGGGAAAAAAAATTAATATCACACAACTAAGGCGCAAGCGGGGGAATAGCAAATAATTTTAATATCCCAAATATTATCAAGGGGCTAACAAAAACAAAATAAAAAAAACATTAAAAATATCAACCACGGTCAAGATACGTGGTGAAATTTAGAAAGGCGGTGTGGTGGTTTTAGTTAATCACCACAAGCACTACACATGGTGATTTTTAATTTCAAGAACGGGCGCGAATATAACCGTGATGAATTAATCATATTTATCACGGGGAGACTTAGACTGTGATAATTGATTCCCTTCTACCACGAGCTTCTGAAGTCCGTGATAAAATTGTCGTGGTAAATATAATGTTTTGTTGTAGGATCAATAGGGTTAACAAAATACATGGATAGTGTAATCTGTTGGATGTGTTTTAGTAGGAAGCATTTCTTTTTTCTTTTTTTTTTTTTTTTGAGCAAAGATAGTAGGAAGCATTTATATTCAGAAGTATTTTACTTTTGTTAGAAACAAAACATTTGAAAGTGTTTAGCTAAAAGTATCTCCAATAATACTAGTTAATTTTTTGTTATTGTAGCAGTCAAATGACACAACGTCTGGTCAGCCACCACTTACAACAATACAATTTAGTTATAATATTTTAATATTATTTTTTTTTCCCAAAACTTAACAACCCAAGCCGTTTTTCTTCTCTTGAAACCCACAAACTTAACAACCCAAACACTTTTTTTTTTTCTCAGTACATCGATATTTTTACACTAAGAGGAGGAGGAATTCAGTTAAGTCACACAATAGGCAGCCTAATTTGGTATCGAATTCACCATCCACGAAATTCGAACTCAAGCCATTTTTAGTGTAGATATTGTAGATGATATCGTATGTTAAAATAAAAAAATAAATGAAAAAAAAAAAAACACCAAAAATTAACTTTTTCTCTCTTCTTAGTCAAATCTAACTAGTTACTGTAAGAGTACCTCCAATAGCCTAGATAAATGAGGCTTTTAGACTACTTCAGCAAAAAATACAAAAAAATAAAACTCCAATAAACTAGTTAAATGACTAGTCATCTTAATTTTGTTAACATCATAAACCTTCGCTAATTAGCTGATAAAGCCCACATTAGCTCGATCCGTATTCGATATACCTAGAAAGTAAGAGCCGGGGTAAACTTGGAGTCCAATTGACTCCAAGTCACGTGGAGATCACTAAAGAGAATTCTAGTACTAAATGAGCTATGACATTCCATATCAGTTTAAGGAACGTTTCAGATCATCACCAAATCCTATGTATCAACTAAGGATCAAATGAGATCATGTTTTGCGGAACTTTAGAGTACGAGATGTCGGGTCACGCCGAGATGCTTTCAGAATTGCATGACCTCAATCTAGAAAGGTCACCTTGACGTTGAACCAATTTTAGACATCGAACACCCTTATTTATTTGTCTCTTAATTTCTTTTTAAATTCATTTAATTTAAATTTTGTAAATAAAGAAAGGTGTTCAAGAGAAGAAAAAAAAAACATTTTGCTATTTTTTGGTCATTTTGTGGAAAGATATATTGTCTTTGAATAATTTTTTAACTTGATGTACAAAAACTACTCTACGTGTGGATAGAATCACTCTTCACTGTATCATCTCTTGGGCTGGTCCCCTGGTAGGGTTTGGACTCTGTCTATTTCTGCCTTTGGGATTTGTACATGAAGATGTTGTTCAAACCCACGAATTTCATCCAAAAAAAACAAAAAAGAGGGGGTTATTCTCGGTGCCTTATCATGATTACAATCTTTATGCTCTTGTACTGTGATTTTATAACTTTATGTAGCAGCTTCTTTGGATAAAAAAGAATCGAATTCTGTTTAGATGGGGTTGGTAGCAACCAAAATCCCAAAACTAATATGTGTGGAAACAATTCACTCTAATATTAATTTCATTCTTTAAACATCCACAGGAAAACTACATAGGCTACTTAAGCTTTTGGCTCAAGGGAGAATAATTAGTAGCTAGAGTTTAGAATTCCGGACACAACATGTCATCGTTTGACATTGCTTGGCAATCACTGAGGCTTGAAAAAGCTCACTGTAATACCAGTGTCAATTATAACATAAACACCAGCAGCAATCAACAGGATACTTAAAAGAATTCCCACAGTCCCTAATACCCAATTTACCCACCAACTTAGACTGTACTTCTTGGGTTTCTTGATCTTTAGCCACATGAAACATGGATATGCTAATGTCACCGGCAATGATATCCCTCCTAGCAAACCAGCTATGCTTCCCAAGAAAGGTACGGCCACGGCTAAGAAGTAGCATCCATAAGCATACATAGCTCTCATGATAGCCCTAAGCCACCATGGAGCTGCCTTCTTAAACCTCCTAGTGTATTGTGACTCCATCTCGTCAAACATCGGCATGCCATAGATCTGGAAGGAGCACAAAGCATTGATTACAACAAACAAACTTGCTAGTCCGAGAACCAATCGGGATGTGTCACGCATATGGAAGCCGTACAAGGCCGCAAACATGCCTCCTTGATGTGGTATCTGCAAACCAAATGCATATTAGTATTGTCCACAAACACTTAAATAATCTTCCCGTATGAGACATCTGACATATTGTCAAACTGTTAATTTTATTTATTTGAATGGAAAATCTAACATGGTAAACAGTCTGACAAAAGACGATTAAATTTCATATGTTTCATATCAGTTTTGTTTTCAGACAAATAAGGAAGTTGAACTTTGAAAGTCAGATATGTTACCATCTGACCATATGCCCAATAGCCTCCAATTGCAAGGGGGAAAAGGCACATTGCTATGAGAGTGTATGAAATTTGGACACCCCTCCACATTGGCACGCGTGATGGATGTTTTTCATTGGATGGCATTGTGGCCTGTAATGGAAGAGAAAACCCCGATTAGAAGGCAATTGGTGAAATATAGTCAGAAGTCCTATTCGATCGAGTTGCAATATCAACATCATTGGCTCAAGATCAGCAAAACATATACGAACATCATTAAATACAACCCTTGTATATTATTTTATTTTTACAAACTATTTGGCGTACTCTTTTCATTTGCTTAAAAAAAATATTCAACTTAAAAGTAGGATGATCGCTTAATATAATTTGTTCACATGGATACACTAAAAAGATTTAGACCAAATTATCTCCACTTGTTTATCCTTCGGCCAACATATACTAACTTTATAGTATACTAAACCAAAAGAATAAGATATACTAAGAACTTCAATTGTTTGTACCCGATATACAATGAATTTTTTTTTTCCTTTTTGCAATAATATAATGAATTCTATGATTTCTTTTTGTAACAAAAACTCTGTTTTGTTATATATGAACTCAAAACCTTCTTTAACAAACTACAGAAAAATAATTATCAGTTTTTTTCTTAATCGAAATAAAATTGAGTTATAAATTATTTTTTTCGTTGAGAAAAAAATGAACATAAAAAGGATAACGGCAATTATTGACAAGTGTACGTAATTAATTACACTACTATACACCTTAAACTGTGAGATTAATTGACGTACCTGAATCTCAAGTATAAGGTTGTGGCCTCTGAAGGCAAAGGCAATCATTCCAAGTGCATTGAGAATATCAAAAAAGTGAATGAGGTTTTTGTTGGATTTCAAGGGATCATAAGACACATGAGGAAGTCTACCCTTATCCACAGACACAACCCATATGATTGTGCAGTAGCCAATAGCTGTGATGGCACCAACAAGAGACACTCCGGCAATGGAGTTCAAGTTTGGTAGCTGCGACAGAATCACTGCGGCGCATGTAAACACCAAGTACCACTCTGCTGGTGTCAATGGCCTTGCAGTGCATGTAGCTCCACACACAATTTGGAAGAACGACTTTGATGTTGCTCCTCCGAGGACAATCAGAGCCACGCACGTGCCGCCCGATAGGTACAAAATCGGGAATAAGGCCAAGAACTTCGATAACTTCTCACCTGAGAAAGGGAGAAAATTGGATGGTTTTGGAAAAGTTACTTTTGAATAGGGGTTGTAAAATTTCTTAGCGCTTGGCTTGTTTTGGAGTAATTTCAGAAGTGCCAAAAGCGATTTTAGATGACTAATTTTTTTTTTTTTTTTTACCGTGCTAGAGATTACAAAAGCACTTTTTGATGCTTCCTCACAAACAATTTCTAGTTCAATATAGAACAAAATTTTCTTAATTTTGTATTAAAGCAATACTGAATAAAAGCGTTTTCTTACATATAAGCACTTCGGAATAGTGTGCATTTAGCTTAATTAAACATATTAAATGGTAGTTCTTACCAAAAGTTGCATTGCAAAGTTGAATGTATCTGCAATAACGGATGCCAGTTTCAGGAGATTCATGAAGTTGGACCAGCAAGTATAAAGTGTAAAGTTGCCATATGAATGCCAAAGTCATACATATAACACCCCATGTCCTGTGGTAATTAACCAAATCGATTTTGTTTAAAAGTACCATAATACAGACACTGAAAAATAATATTAAGTTAACTAACAAACGTTTAATTGTTAAATTAAAGCAATACCCATAACTCATTAATCATGTTGACTTACCACCCAAGATAAGGAAAGGCCACAGGAAGCACAAGAGATTGAATTCCAATACCAGAACAAAGAGTGTGGAAGGCAGCATAGTAAGCGTTACCGTTCCTAGATTCAGTGATTGGAAGCCAAGCATCTTGAGGGTCAAGCCTTGTGAGGTGGAAAGCCCTCCTAACGGGGCTCCCTATTGGTGTCATGAACCGTGGAGTACGAGACTTTGGGGTTAAAGTTTTCGGGGTTTTTAGTGTTATCTGGTCACCACCACCGGTGGTGGTGGTTGAAGCAGGGATCAGCAGTGGTTGTACCCGAGACTTAGACGCTGGAGGATCTTCTGTAGGTGGCATAGGCGGCCCCGGTGTTATTGGGGCTGGGGTTATCTCATCACCTCCTGTTTCAGACATTTTATTTCAAGTTCTCTCACTAGCTAGCTCTTCTATCTCGTCCTCTCCCTTAGTTTCTCACAAGAAATAAAGCTAGCCACTTACATTAATAACTCGTACCTTAGTCTATATATAGAGACCTCTCTATACACTGGGAAATTAAATAGATCAATTCAGTATAAGTTTTTTGACCTAATATTAGCTTATATTTGGGAACTAATCATTGCTCTAATCCACTGGAAAGGATAGGACAAGATTGTTTTCATATGTTAACAACTAACATCCTTATTATTCAAACTACACGTTGGCGTCCATAGTATATTAATTATTAGGTATATTTCACTGTATAGTCATATGATGCTGTCTTAAAATTTGGATCAAGATATAAACAGAGGGCTAGACAGCTGCTGGAATTGTTTATCATGATTAACTTGCTCTTATCTTCTTCTTCTCTTGACTTAGACTAAGTCATATTTCGTTAAGCCTCAGGTCCCTGACTAATGTAAGCCACAAGGAATTAAAAATTTGTAGACACAACCCACAGACATACCATCATATTCAATACCTTCATTTTAAAGATTTCTCACAATTTTAAGGGACACTTTTGTAGGTTTTACCCTATATTGTATTTTAACGTCCAACCGTACATACATTAATTTTATGTATGTTTTACAAAAATAATATGTAAATGATATGTTAAATTAATATAACCAATTTGGATCGTAAAGAAAGTTGCAAAAGAATCCTTAATATTTTCTTTAAATAAAATTATTTGAGAATTCCTCAAGACTGCCTTCATATCTACTTTGCCAACCCCTAGTGTACAAGACTAAAAATTAATATAACCAATTTGGATCGTAAAGAAAGTTACAAAAGAATCCTTAATATTTTCTTTAAATAAAATTGTTTGAGAATTCCTCAAGACTGCCATCATATCTACTTTGCCAACCCCTAGCGTACAAGACTAATTTAGGTGACATGGAGATGCTCGTATAAGACAAATATAGTAGAAAAGAAAATGTATGTTGTGCATGAAAATATGGAAAAGATAAATGAAAATATATAAAACGGGCGCAATGGTTAGAGCTTTCGTATTCTAGTGTCCCGAATCTTAATATAAGTACAGCCATGGTGCCGTTAAGTTTACAAATTAAAGAATAATATCGATTGTCTCAATGGTTAGAGCTTTCGTATTAATGTTACTAGACCTAGATTCGAACGTTGTGTCTCCACTTATTGTAGTTGAGATTAGAAATATATCACTTATAATCAAAAGTTTTCAAATTAGAGTCCATAATTATACATAGATACACAGTTAGGATGTACAGATTTATCTCTAATCAAATATAGACGCAAAGTAGATTATTAATTAGAAGTAGTTCCTGAGTCACCAATTATTATTATCTCAATTTCCTTTTTTTTTTTTAGATTCTAAGCCTTTAACTAATATCTATTTGGACCTACACAGAAAACTGTTATACCATATTCCAAATTAGTTGGTAACCAAAAGTTTGAGACTTGTGACCTTAATATATTAGTCTTAAATTTTGATAAAACTTATTAACATGGGGTTTCTTGGCTCAAGCTTCTGTGTTTCTTAGTTTATTACATGTCGTCCTTTTCTGCATAGCTGCTTAAGTTACACCTAAGAAAAATGGTCGACTTCACATCACATTAACAAGGTTTGATAACGTGGCTCAGACTAGCTAACACGTATCTCCTTCCTAATTAAGTATACCAAAACATATACAGTTTGCTCAACGTCCTTAACCACTTTTCTAGTAATGTATAATTCCAATTGTATTACTTTTCTCTCCTTCTTGCAATTTTCGTTGCATGAATATCTCACTGATTAAGCATAATATTGTAAAGTATCTCAAATACCAATTCTCGAGTCTCCCATGTCTGTCGCAACACCAATTATGTGGAACGTAGATTGGCCAAGTTGGCCTTTAATTTATTTCAAAAATGTTTCATTTTGGTTTGAAGATCCTCCAAATCTCATCCCCAATGCTCTCCTAAGAGATTGTAATTCTCCTCAATAAAATCGCCATCGCTTATCTTCCAAAGAAAAGTATGTACATCATAATATTGGATTTTGTGTGTGTGTGTAAACAGAAACGAGATTAGGATATGCATGTCATCTAAGATTTAGTTAGTTAGAATTAGATAGCTCTAAAGTCTTAGTCAATCATAAAGGAAATGAAAATCCAGATTCTGACATAAAACTGTTTAGCTAAATTTAATTGTACAAGAAATGTTCTCTCCAGCAAATCCAACTTCGATATATTGAGATGACAGTAAGTGCTGAATTCAATAGAGTAAAGCGACACTCTTTGTTTTCTTATTTGTTTTCATTTTTCAGCTTTCACAGGTAACCAATACATATGGCGATCAAAGAAAGAAAATTCTATTTAGCCGGCTAATTATTTATTTTATGCAATACTGCAATTGGTGAGTGGTGACTGGAGAATATAACACCCTAGCTAGTTGCAGGTTTGATAAGCAGCTAATATTTATATGCATATAGATGCTTTAGACAGCGACGTGCAATATTCACAGGCTTTATATTTAGGTGGCCAACCTGATCTCTATATATATTATGAGTCTGTGACTTGTTATGAAAGGAGGGTCCTCAGTTGACCCTAATTCATCGGCGTTAGAATACAGGAAGTAAACATATTTATAGTTGGAATGTCAAGAGTCTTGTATTATTTTGTTGGTGAAGGAATGGAACCAAATAATTAATCAATTCTATTTGAACAAACAAACAATATAATTAATTAGTTAGTTTTATAACGTTTTTATACGACATTAACGTTCAAGATATGCACGCGGAATATTATAGACTATCTTCCCTATTTATCTCAAGAATGTTAATAGTAACTCTACATGTTTTGATTGCTAGATGAATACATTTATTGTTAGATCAACCAGACTGAATTTGAATAAATTATTCATTGCCGTCTAACCTTTTGTATATATTGAAAGGCAGTTGAAGGTGTTTTGTTAGGTATGGTTAAAATTTTCTTTTGCTCTCATCGTATGTTACCAGATTTGAACCATACTAATATTGTGCTTATTCCCAAAGTAGAGAATCCAACGAAGATGTTTCAGTTTAGACCAATTTCACTTTGTAATGTGGTCTATAAGCTCATTTCTAAAGTTTTGACTAATCGATTAAAAAGAGTTCTTCCTAAGGTGATTAGTCAAAATCAATCGGTGTTTGTGGCTGGAAGGCAAATTTCTGATAATGTCCTGGTGGTTCATGAACTTCTCCATTCTATGCAACATCGGACTGAGGAAGATGTTAATTATATGGCGATGAAATTGGATATGGCAAAAGCCTATGATAGGGTTGAATGGTCTTTCCTTAATGCGATGATGCATAAATTAGGCTTTGATGATGTGTTTTACCAATGGGTGATGGAGCGTGTGCAAATTGTGTCATATAGTGTGGTTGTTAATGGCGAGGCTATGGGATATATCACACCTCGTAGAGGGATTAAACAAGGGGACCCGCTATCACCGTTTCTATTCCTCATCTGTGCAGAGGGCTTTTCATCCTTACTTCATTATGAGGAGCGGGTAGGATGTCTTCGGGGTATATATGTCACATCTGTTGATGAGCCCATACCCCATGTATTTTTTGCGGATGACTCCACATTATTTTGTCGAGCTACAGAGTTCGAGGCATATAATATTAAATGTTTGCTACATCGGTATGTTGTGGGTTCTGGCCAATTTATTAATTTGTATAAGAGTTCTGTCCATTACAGTGTGGGTTGTTCTCCGAGGTTGAAAGCTCAATTATCACAATAAGTTCTGGGGATTACGCATAAGGAAGGTTTTGGGAAATACTTAGGTATACAATCTGATTTTGGGGCTTCAAAGAAAAAAGTATTTGAAGAGGGAAGAAATAAACTGGATGCAAGAATCAATGGTTGGGTAGAGCAGTATTTGTCGGTAGCCGGTAAAGAAGTGCTTATTAAGAGCGTTGTTGCGGCTTTACCTATTTATACCATGTCTTGTTTTCAATTGCCTATTCAATTGGCAAGGGAAATTGAGCAAGTAATAGCACGATTTTGGTGGAGGGATCAAAAGACGAAGAATGGTGTTCATTGGCTTGTGTGGAAGAAAGTGGCGAATAGAAAGGCTACGGAGGTTTGGGCTTTAAAGAGATTATTGATTTTAATTTAGCAATGTTGGCCAAGGTGGGGTGGCGCCTGGTATACAATCCGAAATCTATGTTGGCTAAAGTTCTTAAGGCTAAGTACTATCCTAATTCATCGTTTCTTGAAGCATCAGTGGGACGAGGAACTTCATGGGGATGGAAAAGAATTTTACAAGGGAGGAAAATATTGAAGGCTAGTTTGCGCTGGAGGGTTGGTAATGGGAGGACTATTCAGGTTGTTGAGGATCCTTGGTTATCTATTCCAAGAACCTTTCGACCTATTTCATGACATTTGGAGATGTCCAAGTTGGTTACCGATATGGTGTCTACTAATGGAACATGGAAACGTGACATCATTGAGAGGTGTTTTAGTGTCGAAGAAGCACAAATTATTATGCTATTAAGCCAGTTTGGGTGTTCTGATCGTCTTATTTGGCACTACACTCGAAATGGAATTTATTCGGTGAAATCTAGATATTTGGTAGCCCAGGAAATGGATAGGAATGGTGAACTTGGTTAGCAAGGAGTAGGGCAGTCTAGTAGGGTTGATAATATGGCTTAAGTATGGAGGAATCTGCGGAGTTTAAAGGTGCCTCCGAAGCTCCGTCATTTTGTATGGAGAGGATGTCGGAATATATTGGTTGTTCGTACCAACTTGCAACGGATAAGGATTCAGTTGAGTACTAGCTGCCCATTTTGTGATTGTGAAGAGGAAACCCAGGTACATATTTTTTTTAAATGCTCATTCGCTTGTGTCTTTTGGTTTGGATCTCTGCTCCAATTGGATGCAACTACAGTTGAGGGAGATGACTTTATGTAGTGTTGGGTTTGGTTGTGTGATAAGTATGGTAAGATGGAGGATGCTTGTGCGCTTATGCGTTGGGTGGTATGTGGTTTATGGAGAATATGGAAGTGTCATAATAGTGTGGTGTTTGAGAAGATTATGATCGACCCAACGGTTGCAATGCATCTATTTCGGCAACAATGGGAGGAGATTGTGGAAAGTGATGAGGA